GTCCCCCTTATTTCGAGGCTCTGCCCCCTCATTCTAGTTTCACCCGCCAGTGGGAACAACCTCCCTGCTTCTATCTTATCTATTCCCTTCATAATTTTATATGTTTCTATAAGATCCCCCATCATTCTTCTAAATTCCAATGAATGTACCCAGTCTACTCAATGTCTCCTCATAAGCCAACCATCTTGACTTCAGAACCAACTGAGTGAACCTCCTACCAGATTTTCAATCAGTACTGGAATCAAGGGTAGTGGGGGAAAAGCCAGGAAAGTGGAAGTTGAGGATGATCAGATCAGCCATGATCTCATTCAGTGGCTGAGCAGATTCAATGGGCTGAATGTCCTACTTCTGCTGCTACATCATATGGTCTTCCTTACGAGGTAGGATATTGAAACTCAGCTTTCTTATAATTCCCTGAGCCTACAACCTTCAGCAGGGTCAGTAGTCTGGAGTTTGACAGGGGCAGTGTTCCCAGAGTGACTGTCAGCATTGCATTGCAACTCCCTTGTTCGAAGTATTTTATTTATCCTTGTGTTTTATTTGCGTTAATTAAACAGAGGAACATGAAGACATGTTGCCAGTCGTTCTTTACCTGGAGCTCAAATATTTATTTGTGTAATGGTCCCTGCATTTAAGAGGCTCGTTTTAGCTCTGCCAATTTCAATCCAGATTTTCACCCATTCATTTTCAATCAACGTGTCACATCAATCTCGGAATTGACAGCACGTTTCCGGCATTCACCCTCGTTCTTCCCGACTCTCACCATAGTTGTAAAGGAGCTGATGTTCCGAACCAGGAAGGAGAGCGACCGGGATACGTTTCTTACGTACCTCAAAATTGAACCCCTTTGGGACATCGCTGCGGGTGAAGAGCAGCAAGAGAAACCAAACTGCCTCTCTGCTCCTATGGTGCTGCTTGGCCTGCTGTGTTCATCCAGCCCTGCACCTTGTTGTCTCTGCCATTTGCCCCGCTCGGTCTAACCCTGAAGGACAACGTCCAGGTTGAAGTTCTGCTGTAACCCTGCCCCACATGAGCTCCAACCGGGTAAAGTTGAGGGGTGACCTCATAGAGGTTTATAAAATCATGAGCTGAATGGATAAGGTGAATGGCAGGTGTCTTTTCCCTATGGTGGGGGAATTCAAGACAAGGGGGCATATTTTTAAGGGTGAGAGGGAAACAAATTAAAACAAAGATGTAAGGGCCAATTTTTTTACACAGGGGGTAGTATGTGTGTGGAATGAACTTCCAGAGGAAGTGATGGATGTGGGTACAGTTACAATGTTTAAAAAGACATTTGGATAAGTCTTAGAGTTGTACAGCATGGAAACAGACCCTTCGGTCCAACCCATCTGTGCCAACCAGATACCCTAAATTAATCTTGTCCCATCTGCCAGCATTTAGCCCATTTCCCTCTCAACCCTTCCTATTCACATACCTATCCAGATGCCTTTTAACTGTAGTAAATGCACCAGCCTTCACCACTTCCTCTGGTAGCTCATTTCATACACACACCACCATCTGTTTGAAAGGTTTGCCCCTTGGGTTCCTTTTAAATCCTTCCCCTCTCACCTTAGACCTATGCATTCTAGTTCTGGACTCCCCTACCCTGGGAGAAAGGCCTTGACTATACATGAATGAGAAATGTTTGGAGGGATATGGGCCAAGCGCAGGCAAGTGGGACTAGTTTAATTTGGGATTATGGTCTGCATGGACTGGTTGGGCAGAAGGGTCTGTTTCCTTGGTCCTACCTCCCTTAAAATATTTTTCAGAATGGTGGCACGGTGGTTCAAGTGCACTGCTGCCTCACGGCCACTAGCATCCCAGGTTTGAATCCACCCTCGGGCAACTGTCTGTGTGGAGTTTGCACATTCTCCCCCGTATCTGCGTGTGTTTCCTTCAGGTGATCCAGTTTCCTCCCGCAGTCCAAAGATATGCAGGTTAGGTGGATTGGCCGTGCTAAATTGTCCCATAGTGTCCGGGAATGTGCTGGCTCAGATGGGTTAGCCATGAGAAATGCAGGGTTACGGGGATAGGGTCTGAGTGGAACGCTCTTCAAAGAGTCAGTGTGGACTCCGTGGCCTGTTTCCGTACTGTAGGAATTCTATGACTCTCACACTGGCGGGAAAGACAAAAGTCCAGGACAGTATGCTGAATACAAAGCCATTTATTTCACAGTCATCCAGAGTACTCAATTCTGGGAGGTCACTAACATCAGCAGCGACAAACTTCAGCTGTCAGAATAGAAACACAGTACATTTACCACACAGGAGGCCATTTGACCCATCAAATTTACGCCTGCTAAAGCTGGGCCTGCAATCCCATAGGATACAGCATCTCCGATTCATATCCAAGTGGTTTTCTTTTTACCCGAGAAGAGTTCCTCCGATTACAAATCTAACAGGCATTGAATTCCGGGTCCCCTGCATCCCATCGGGTGAAATGATTTCTGTATTCCTCCTCCCAATCCTTCTGCTGGTTACGTTAAATCTCTGCATCATGTTTATTAACCTCTCTGCTCCTGGAAATAAATTCTTCTGCACTCCTGCCCGCCCCCTGCTCCTTTAACCACACACACACAATCCCCACTCTCTGCTGCTCCAGCCTCAGTCTATCCAGTTTTTCCGTGTAGCTAATTGTGGCACTCGTGGTCACATCCCTGTACCTACCCCTGCCAGGGGAGGCAATGGTCTCGTGGTATTATCACTGGACTGTTAATCCAGAGACCCAGGTAATGTTCTGGGGACCTGAGTTCTAATCCTGCCACAGCAGAAGGAGGAATTTGAATTCAAAGAAAGAAATCTGCAATCAAGAGTCTAATGATTACCATGAATCCATTGCCGATTGTCAGAAAAACCCATCTGGTTCACTAATGTCCTTTAGGGAAGGGAACTGCCATCCTTACCTGGTCTGGCCTACACGTGACTCCAGATCCACAGCAATGTGGCTGACTCTTAACTGCCCTCTAGGCAATTAGGGATGGGGCAATAAATGCTGCCTCGCCAGCGACGCTCTCATCCCATGCATGAATTAAAAAAAAAACCTTCACTACTGCAATCACACCCTTCCTGCCAATGCAGCAAACGGACACCATGCTCTAGCTATAATGAAGCAAAGAACTGCGGATGCCTGAAATCTGAAACAAAACCAGAAATTGCTGGAGAAACTCAGTAGGTCTGGTAGCATCTATAGGGAGAGAGAAGGCAGAGACAATATTTCGAGTCCAGTAACCTTATTTATGAAGATGCTTCTCCAGCAATTTCTGTTTTTTTGTTTTCTAGCTACAGTCTAGTGTTTTAAACAACTCCAGCATAATCTCCCTGCTCTTGCAATTTGAGCAGAAAATATTTGGAGATACTCAGCAGCTCTGGCAGCATCTGTGATTTCAATCTGTGATGTTAGAGTCATAGAGATGTACAGCATAGAAACAGACCCTTCACTTCAACTCGTCCATGCTGACCAGCTATCCTAAATTAATCTAGTCCCGTTCGCCAGCATTTGGCCCATATCCCTCTAAAACCTTCCTGTTCAAGTACCCATCCAGATGCCTTTTAAATGTTGTAATTGTACCAGCCTCCACCACTTCCTCTGGCAGCTCATCCCATACATGCACCATCCTCTGCATGAAAAACTTGCCCTTTAGGTCCCTTTTAAATCTTTCCCCTCTCACCTTAAACCTCTAGTTTTGCACTCACCTACCCTGGGGATAAAGACTTTGGCTATTCACCCTATCTGTGCCCCTCATGATTTTATAAACCTATATAAGGTCATCCCTCAGCCCTGACACTCCAGGGAAATAGCCCCAGCCTATTCAGCCTCTTCCCATGGCTCAAACCCTCCAGTCCTGGCAGCATCCTTGTATATCTTTTCTGAACCCTTTCAAGTTTCACAATATCTTTCCTATAGCAGGGAGACCAGAATTGAACGCAGTATTCCAAAAGTGGCCTAACCAATGTCCTGTACAGCCACAACATGACCTCCCAACTTCTATACTGTCAACAAAAAATGTTGGAGACATTCCCTACTGTTGAATAGAACATTCACTCAGCCAATAAAGGAATGTATCACTTATGCTTTCTTAACCACCTTATCTGTCTATCCTACTACCTTCAGGATGTGTGAACATGCACTCCAAGCTCCCTCTCTAGGCCCTCCAGGCCATCCAATCTTAGCCAAACTGTCTACATGAATCCCATTTTGCAGCACCTGGCCCATAACCTTTAATGTTCTGACACTTCAAATGCTCATCAAGAACTTTTTAAAAAGTTGTGAGGTTTCCAGCCTCTACTACCCTCCCTGGTAGTGCATTTCAGACCCCACAATTTCTGAGTGAAAACATTTTTCCTCAGATCCCCTCTAAACCTCCTGCCCTTCACCTTAAAATCATGTCCCCTTTGTTACTGAACTAAGGGGAACCGTTCCTTCCTATCCACCCTGTCGACGCCCCTCATAATCTTATCCACCTCTATCAGGCACCCGCTAATCTAAATAAAATAACCCACGTTTATCCAGTCTCCCTTCATCGCTAAACCACTCCATCCTGGGCTACATCCTGGTGAATCTCCCTCTGCACCCCGACCAGTGCAGTCAAATCCTTCCTATAGTGTGGGGACCAGAACTGCACACAGTACTTCAGCTGTGGCCCAACCAAAGTTTTGTACAGCTCCAACATAACCCTATAATTCTATGCGTGTCAGCCTTTACATGTCTCAGTATCCTCCCAGTCATATGTTTTGCACTTGCTGTTTTTTGCCCTCTCCAAATGTTTCACTTCACACTTCTCTGAATTCCATTTAATACTTTTCTGCCCACCAGATTATCTATTTATACTTTTTGCAGTCAACAGCTTTATTCCTCAGGGTCAGCCACAATACTGCAAAACTTTTGCTCATACCTCATATGTAAGAAATAATACATTAATGTGTAAGTGACCGATATATATTCCACAGAAATCAAGGGAGTGTGTACTGAATTATCCACAGCACCACTGGAAACGGTATTACTTTCAGTCAAGAAGACACCTGACGGGCCGTTCCCTTTTGCTTCCTGCTGCTCCAGTTGACGGCGGTCCCTGCACTTATCTGGCACTCTCAGAGGATCCAGGTTTACCGAGATGGAACAGGATGAGCCCTTCACGAGACTGAGCTGCCCTGCTATACCTTTATTTGTTCGATTGCTTGGTGTCTTCTGCAAAATAAACTTCGAGCAGAATTGCCTGCCGATCCGAACAGCTTCTGCTAGTGTGCAGAAGTCACTTTAATTCATTAGGGCGTCCAGAGAAATGTTTCTCCTCGCTTTTTTTTTGGCTGTCTGAACACATTGTAGCTTAAGGGTCTCCAAATGCGCAAGCGCGAAAGGTCCCAGTGACGTCAATTACAGGACGGAACGCATACCGCGACGACATTGCGTAGTTGCGCCACACGACGTACGCACGCGCAGTCGACCTCCAGATTTTGAGCCTGGTGGCTCTTCATGGCGGGCAAGACAGACTGTGAGATAGAAATAGTGGCTATGGGTTGCGTTCGGGCATGTGGTTTGCTGGGATGGAAGAAAGGAAGGAATAAAAACTCTGTGGAAACACAGAGGACATCACTTCCCCCTACTTCACTGACACCTCCACCCCTTTAAAAAGTAGTTGCTTCCGTCGCTTTGCAGTGACGTAGCGCTTCTGCGCCTGCATGCTCTCTTGCACCCCCTAGTGGGGATGTTCAGACCATGTTCTCTCATGAGTTTAGCCCTAACTTTCTTCATCTTTGAACAACTGAATCCAACCTCTCTTTACTTACGCGACTGGACCAGTCATCCACAGGTCCTGGGTTAATTCTGGGTTCAAGTAGCTGGTGGAATTTGAATTCAATTAATGAATCTGGAATTGCAAGCTTATGGTAGTAACTACAAGACTGTCACCGATTGTCATAAACCACCTCCCCGATCCCATCAGATTCACTGACGTCCCCTTAGGGAAGAAAATCTGCTGCATTTACCTGGTGCGGACTCCATGTGACTTTGGGCCCATGGCAATGGGATTGACTGTTAGTTGCCCCCTGAAAGAGCCTAGGACCTATCCACTTCAAAGGCAATTAGAATGGGTGGCAGCTTTCAACCCTGCTAACAATACACACATCCCAAGAAGAATAAAGAAAAAGAAATCAATGCCTCACATTATACTTGATTAGTGTAGAGATTCAAACAGTCCTCTGTATTTTAACTGTGCTCTAACTAGTGTTTCACGCAGTTCAAGCAGTATCTCTCTTGCGATTTCCAACCTGCCCAAGGAAAGGAAGTATTGTGAATACCTTCTTAACCTCCCAGTCTACCTGTCCAGCCACCTTCAGAGATGTGTGAGCTTGATCTTCTCAGCCTCATACAGTTTATTGTGCGTCCTCCTGCCTTGGTTCAGTTTCCCCAAAATTCGTCATTTCACACTTCTTCAGATTCCACTTGCCACTTTCCTGCCCATCTGACCAGGTGGTCAATTTTGTCCAACAGTTCTTCCTCGTTGTCAACTTGACAAGCAAACTCCGTGACATTTACAAGCTCTTTTATCGTGGCCCCTATTTTTAAGTCAATATCCTTGACATGTACCACAAATCCGTGGGCCCTCACCAGGGACGGGTGACCAGCTGTGATTCAGTCCTGAATGTGGTTCGCATCAGCAACGGCGGCAGAATCCAATCCCTGCTCTCGCAAGTGAAGCTGGTGGTGTCTCAGGAGGTTGTTAGACTGACTGAATCCCTTCCCACACGTGGCACAGTGGAATGGCCTCTCCCCTGTGTGAACACGCTGATGCGTCAGCAGGTTCTGCTTGCTTTTAAACCTCTTCTCGCAGATGGAGCATTCAAAGGGTCTCTTGTCGGTGTGAACCAGTTGGTGTGTGGTGAGGTGGGAGGACTGAGTGAATTTCTTGCCACACAGGGAGCAGGTGTATGGTCTCTCCCCCGTGTGAACTCGCTGGTGTGTCAGAAGATCAGATAAATCCACAAATTCAAGCCCACACTCAGAGCAGGTGAACGGCCTCTCTCCAGTGTGAAGGCGATGATGCCTTGACAGGTGGGACAATCGAGTGAATCCCTTCCCACACACAGAACAAATGAATGGCCTCTCTCCGGTGTGGGTATACTGGTGTTTCAGCAGGTCCTTTTTGCTTTTAAATTTCTTCTCACAGTCGAAACATTCAAAAGGCCTCTCGGTGGTGTGAACAAACTGATGGGTCAGCAGGTGGGATGAGCACGTAAATCCCTTCCCACACACGGAGCAGGTGAATGGCCTCTCCCCGGTCAGAGTGCGCTGGTGGTTCAGTAAATCCTTTTTGCTTTTGAAGCTCTTCTCGCAGTCAGAACATTTAAAAGGTCTCTTATCAGTGTGAACAATTTGGTGGGTCAGGAGATGGGATGACTGAGTGAATCCTTTCCCACACACTTTGCAGGTGAAAGGTCTCTCCCCAGTGTGACTGCGTTGGTGTGTCACAATGTCCTTTCTGCTTTTAAAGCTCTTCTCACAGTCAGAACATTTGAATGGTCTCTTGTCAGAGTGAACACGCTGGTGAGTCCGGAGAGTTGAGAAGGCCTTAAATCCCTTCCCACACTCTGGGCAAGTGAACGGCCTCTCCCCGGTGTGAACCCGCTGGTGCGTGTACAGGCTGGAAGACTGAGTGAATCCCTTCCCGCACACGGAGCAGGTGAATGGCCTTTCCCCGGTGTGACTGCGTCGATGCGTTTCCAGCTCTGATGGGTAATTGAACCCCTTCCCACAGTCCCCACATTTCCACGGCTTCTCCGTGGTGTGAACCTCCTCGTGTCTCTCCAGCTTTGTTGATCCACCGAGGCTGAAGTCAACCTGCAGAACACGTTGATGGATGCGCACTGCTGTGAACGGTGCTACTTTTTTTGAGGCTGTTTAACTGGTTAAAGCTCTTTTCACTGTCAGTTCACTGGAACTCACTCAATTGGGGATATGTATTTGTCTTGGAAACAAAATGTGCTGGAAATCACAGTGGGTCAGGCAGCTTCGGTGCAAAGAGAGCAAGCTAATGTTTGAAGTTTTCGTCAGATTCGTCTGGTTGGTTTTCCAGTCTTAATGTTTAAATTTTTTTCTCACAGTCAGAACAGAGAACCAGAAAGAGCTGGAGAAACTCAGCAGGTCTGACAGCATCTGCAGAGAGAAAACAAAACATACAGTCAACATTTCAAGCCCAGCGATTTTACATCATTTTAAACACCCCTGTAAGGTCACTGCTGGATTTGCTTAAAGGCCTCAATTAATCCAATCCTTCTCAACAGCAGTATAAATTTGCAAACCCCTTCCCTCCTGTCAATCCAGAGATTGCATGCACATGAAAACGGCAATTGCTGGAGAAACTCAGCATCTGTGGGGAGAGAGACAAGAGCTAACGTTTCGAATTCAGTGAGATGGTATACAGTTGTCTGAATTACAACTTGCTCCGTGCAGATTCACATCCCCTTTCGCCCTGGCAAAGGAGTTTATGAATCCCATCTGTGTCAGTGCAGGATGGAGATTAGGAAGAGGCAAACATTTCTCTGAGTTGCAGTTTGCATATTTTCTCTCCTGGTAAAGGAGTTTATAAAAACCCCATCTCTGTCAGCCCTGCTTCCCCCTTTGCAGCTCTCTGCAAACCCGGAATCTCCATTACGGCCTACACACCCTGTTCCAGCAAGGAGCCGCCCAGTCCTGCCGCCGGCTCCATCTCTTCCCTCCGCCCGGGCCCCAACTCACCCACTGACCATCGCTAGCACTCACACTACGCATGCTCGAGACTCTGCCGGGCACTGCGCCTGTGCACCACTCTCTCTGTGACATGATAGGAGACTTTCACCACCGCGGAGCATCATGGGGAAAAACGCCGCCATTGCTGTAGAAGGCCTGGCGACTAGTGAGAGATAGTAAGTACTACAGATGCTGTAGTCGGAGATAACACAGTGTGCAGCTGGAGGAACACAGCAGGCCAGGCAGCATCAGAGGAGCAGGAAAATTAATGTTTCGGGTCTGGAAACATCAACTTTCCTGTTCCTCTGATGCTGCCTGGCCTGCTGTGTTCCTTCAGCTCCACACTGTATTGGCGACTAGTGATGCATTATTGCTGTGATGCAATGGAGACTTCGCGTCAGCTCTGATGAAGTGTCATCTCGACTCGAAACGTTCGTTTGCACTTTTTCCACTGATGCTGCCTGACCCGCTGTGATTTTTTCGTTTTCAGTGGAGATTGGGGCCGGCCATTCAATCAATTTTCTTAAAAAATGAGGACTTATATTGAAACCCAACTCCTGTCATGTTTGCCTTGATGTGGAGATGCCAGTGTTGGACTGGGGTGGACAAAGTCAGAAGCCACACGACACCAGCTTATAGTCCAACAGGTTTATTTGAAATCACAGACTTTCAGAGCGATTTGAAGCATTTCACCTGACGAAGGAGCAGCACTAAGAAAGCTTGTGATTTCAAATAAACCTGTTGGACTATAACCTAGTGTCGTGTGGCTCCTGACTATATTTGCCTTGTGAAGAGAGCTTGAGCAATTTTGGCCTGCACTCTGGTATTTAGAAGAATGAGAGGAGACCTAATTGAGATATGGACAAAATAAAATTGCCATTGTCCCAGAGGACCACTCTCTCATTATAGAGACCTGACTGGTGGTGCTTTCGTCTGAGGGTCACCACAACTCATATGTTAGGAGAGGATGAGAACGTGAATCCCACAGTAACTTCAGCCGGCATGGAGATTGTACCCATAGTGTTGGAATAATTCTACATCCCAGACTAGCCAACTGAGCAAACTGAACCCCTAAGGTATATACAATGCTGAAGGGGATTGACAGAGTAGACGTAGAAAGGCAATCTAGAACAAGAGCTCATAGTTTTAGAATTGAGGCGTATCAGGTTTAAAACAGGGATGAGGAGACATTACCACTCTCAAACGGTCAGAAATCTACGGTATCTGCATCCCCAGAGTGCATTAGATGCCAGGACACTGAGTTTTTTTAAGGAGGACATAGACAGGTTTTTAATTAATGATGGGTTGAAGGGCTATGGAGGGCGGGCAGGAAACTGGATATGAAGTTGAGGTGAGATCAGGCATCAAATGGCGGAGAAGGCTCGAGGGGCTGTATTACTTACTCCTGTTCCTCAGCCTTGTTTCATGTTCAGGGGCTCACCAGAAAGAAGGAGAATAGGAATGGATGGAGGATCGGGTGCCTCTTCCATTTCGCAGCAGAATCCAACCCTTACAGTCAAATGTGATCTAACTGGTGCCTCAGCATGTTTGATGAGCTTATGAGCCACTGACCACGTCCATCATTTTTAAATCAAGCTTTCCCCATGAACGCACTGGTCTTATATCAAGACGTTTGAATTTTCAAAGTCAGTGGTTAGGAAGATGTGTAAAACCTTTTAAAATCGTGAAGTGTCTGGACATTTTCATTCTAGAAAGATTTGTTGCCATGTCAGATAATGAGACTGCCAAGTACCTTGTGACTTTTATCAAATTTTAAAAAGTAAATCGTCTTTCAGAATCAGCTGTTGAAAACCTTCATCCCAATGCGACTGCATTCATGAGTTTCCAGCTCCCTTAGACAACATCATCAAGGCACATTTATATAATAAATATATTAATAATAATATATTTATATAATAAATATATAATACCTTTACCAGATTCTCAGATGCTTCAAATCTCCCTCTATTAAGGTTATCTGTGCATATGTCTCCAGCTTGGTGCCACACTGCTATAATTTACATACAAGAAGTATGAGAATATATGCATTTTGCTAAAATAAATTAGGGTGTCGGTTAAATGATACACCTGTTGCCTTTCTGTCCTACTCCTGCATGTTATTTTTTCTTTAAATAACACTCTGTGCCCTCTTGAATGCATCGGTAGAAAATGCCTCCACCACACTTCTGAGCCTGTTAAGGTGGGAGCAAAGCTGTTATAAGTTGGTCGGAGAATCCATGACAGCCTTAGAGGTAGGAACCCTACTTTGGGAATCACGTTCACTTATTCACCACCGTATGGAGCAAGCCATTCTGCCCATCCATGACCGTTCTCTGGAGCATTCCATTGAGTCCCACTCATCGGACATTTCACCAGTATGCTGGGGTTTGCAAGACCAATGCTGAGGAATCTGAGATAGATCTCTGAGTGCCACCATCTCTAAAGTCCCTGATAGATAGAAGGCAGCGTGAGATTCATTTACTAGTATATATATTTGTGTATATTATGTAGTTTTAAGTTAATAGTTTGACTCATTAGTTTGCATATGTCTCTAATATATATTAAGTGGACTAATTTAATAAATTTGCTTCATATTAAAGTCTATGTTTCTTCCTGTACTAATTTTGATCAGGATTTGAAGAACCTAGTAGGTACTTTCTGCCCAACAATACAGCAGAGGCTGCTCACCTCCTCCGAGTGTGGGAACGGATTGACTCTGACCTCTGGCCTGCTGAGACATAAGTGAGTGCACATGGGGAGAGACCGTTCACTTGATGCGAGTGTGGGAAGGGATTTGTAAAGTCTAGTGACTTGCTGATGTACCAGCGCACTGCCATTGAGGACAGGCCATTCACCTGCTCTGTCTTTGGGAAGGGATTTACTCAGTTCCGCTGCCTCCTCAGACACCAGCAAGTTCACAAGTGACTGTAGTGGTTGGATTCTGCTGTATTTTGCTTCTTTTAATCACGTCCAGCATTAATAACCTGACAATATGGGACTACTTTTTTCTGTTGACTTTAACAATTAACAATAATTCTTTGAAATTTGCATCACAGGGAAACAGAGTGGCTTGCCTTCACTGCTCAGACGTTTGAGTATATGTGTTGGGATGTAATGTTGAGGTTGTATAGAATGTTGGTGAGGCCTCTTCTGGAGAACTGCGTCCAGTTCTGGTTTCCCTGTTATAGGAAGCATATTATGAAGCTGGAGAGGGTTCAGAAGAGATTTACCAGGATGTTGCCAGCAATGGAGGGTTTGTGTTATAAGGAGAGGCTGAATATGCTGGGACTTTTTTCACTGGAGCATGGGAGGTTGAGAGGTGACCTTATCAAGGTTTATAAAATCATGAGGAGTATAGATAAGGTGAATGGCAAGTGACTTTTCCCTAGGTTTAGGGATTTCAAGACTAGTGTATTTATTTTTAAGAGGAAAATGATTTTAAAAAGACACGAGAGGCATTTTTTTTACACAGAGAATGGTTCATATGTGGAATGAACTTCCAGAGGAAGTGTTGGATGTGTGTACAGTTTAAAAGGCATTTAGATAAGCACATAAATAAGAAATGTTTGGAGAGATATGGGCCAACTTCAGGCAAGGGGGACTAGTATCATTGGGATTATGATCAGCATGGACTGGTTGCACCGAAGGGTCTATTTCCATGCTGTATGAATCTATGACTCCATAACTGACTGCTGTTTAATATTGTAGATAGGCCACTAACTTCTTTTCCCCTTTGTAAAGATACCATCTGTGACTTTTTCCCCTAATTCCAGAACCTTTGTCAGGAACCATTTCACAATAAATTTGAGAACTTTTAGTTCAAGCCTAAATTGACTTTGGAGGAACATCTGCAACTCAGTGGCTGAAAGTTTCCATCCGTAGGGGAAAAACCAATGATTTTTATCAAATGCCTTTTTCTTGAGATATTCACAAAGGCTCCACTTTGATTTTTGGGATCTTCTTTTTGATTTTCAGGGGTTCATTGTTCATTCTCACTCACTTGCTCCTTTACCAGGAGACGCAGTCACATGGTAACATTGCCATCTGTATTTGTCCTGAATTGTTCTAAAATACCCCTTGGAAAAGATGGAACAAATAACACAGACTGCACTATATATATTTAGTTATTTAATATTTCAAGTCATCTATTGAATGAGATATTTTTGTTCATTTATTTCAAATAAATCTCCAGTACTCCAGTTCCAAAATGAAAATTCTAACTACCTGGCACAGTGTAATTTATTGGGAATGAGGCTTGTGTTTGAGATAGCATGTTGGTTTAGTAGAGATAACAAGGTATAGAGCTGGATGAACACAGCAGGCCAAGCAGCATCAGAGGAGCAGGAAGGCTGACGTTTCGGGCCTAGACCTTTCTTCAGAAAAAAAAATTTAGTAGTTAGCGCTGCTGTCTCACAGTGCCAGGGACCCGGATTCAATTCCAGCCTTGGGCCAATGTCTGTGTGGTGTTTGTACATTCTCCCCTATATCTGCGTGGTTTCCCCTGGGTGCTGTGGTTTCCTCCCACAGTCAAAAGATGTGCGGGTTATGTGGATTAGCCAGGCTAAATTGCCTTACGTGTCCAGGGATGCGCAGGCGAAGGGGAATTCACCTTGGGAAATGCAGGGATAGGGTCTGGGTGGGATATTCGTCGGACAGCCGGTGTGGACTTGATGGGCTGAATGGCCTGTTCCCACACTGTAGGGATTCTATGAGTCCTTGGACTACGGGAAGCGAGGAGGTGACAATGTAGGTGTTGCATTCCTACACTTGCATGGGAAGGTGCCTTGTGACGTTCATAAGTGGTCTGTATTTCTGAAAAATGAACATATTGTAGGGAGAAGCTGCCTTGTGTATAGTCTAATTGTATGACTGACCGACTACTGCCAATCCCTTCTCACTGCCCAAAGATCAGACGAAGTTGTGGCTAACTGCTGTCTGTTTTCCTTCTGACTGGGCAAATCTCTTCTGAAAAAGTTGCAT